ATGTTTTCAAAGTTCGTCCAAGATGTAGCATGTGTTCCTTTTAATGGCTGAAAAATATTCCATTGTGTTTATATGCCATGTCTTGTTTATCCATTCACGTGTTGATAAGACACTTAGATTGTTTCTACCTTTTGGCTATTGTGAATAATGCTGGTATGAACATTGGTGTATAAGTATCTGTTTGAGTCCCTGTTTTCAATTCTTTCGGGTATCTACCTAGCAGTGGAATTGCTGGGTGATATGGTAATCCTATGTTTAACTTTTTGAGGAATCGCCAATCTGTTTTCCACAGCAGCTTGCACCATTTTACCTTCCCCCCAACAATGCACGAGGGTTTGAATTTTTCCACATCCTTGTCAACACTTATTATTTTCCATTTTTTAAATTATAGCCATAGATGTAAAGTGGTATCTCTACGTATTTGATTCTGACCACCATATCCTCAAGAATCTACCTCTTCCGAAATCCTGAAGTTCTTCGGGGTCACTAATCTGGCATGAGGCTTGTAATGTTTACATAAATGTCTGCTTTTTCTAAATAGATGTTCAGCAACTCTGGAACAAGATTTGGGTGGGGGATCAATTTGAACTCCAGTGTCTACCACCTGGTAGGCATTCAATAAATAAAATGATTGTGGTAAAGGTTGCTGATCTTACCTCTCTCACATTGTAAACACCTGGTGGAAGTTCCCAATAGGCATCTAAGAGATTTTTGCTTGATTCAAAGGAATTAATTTTCACGACTATGTGAGGCAGTTGGTGGTTGGTTACATTTAAACTGCGAATCTAATCCCAGCCCCTCTGCTTTACACCCTTCAGTCACTCTCCATTGCACTTCAGGAAGGACTGCGCTCTGCCAGCTCTGACCTTGCCTCCCTCCAGGACAATTTTTTGCCACTTTTCCCCTTTCTCTTTAGGCTTTTGATCATTCCTCAGATGCACAAGGCTCATCTCTATTTTAGGGCCTTTACACCTACTGCTCCTTCTTTCAGGAATTCTCCACTCCTCCAAACAAGCCCTTCTCTCATTTTTTTTTTTTTTTGCCTATGTCCTACTCCTCCTTCAGGTCTCAGCTGAGATGTCATTTCATCAGGGAAATGTTTCCTGACCCTCTCCCTACCCCAGCTCTAGCCCCATTATGTTCTCCTTTATAGCATCTTTTACTTTTTCTGCATAGCACTTATCAAAATTGCAGTAAAGCAATTTTGTGTTTGTTTAAAGTTCATTCTCCTAGTAGTCAGTGACCTCCATGAGGGCAGCCACTCTTAACCTGTATTGATCAGTGTTACATACATGGTAGGCACTCATTGCATGTTTTTGAAGAGAGCTTCTGCCAAGGAGCAGAAAAACTGACAAGTCACCTGTGAATGCTGCTCGCATTCTGGGTGACTCAGAGTTTATGGTATTCTGGAGGAAACAGTGTAGATCAGATGGATAGCACAGTTATGTGGGTGCTTGGGCAGGAAGTTGGGGAGTGGCCCTCCAAGGCCACAGTGAGGTGGCCTCTTTGGCCAACACAGGGCCCAGACTCTTCAGCTAATGTCAGGTTAGAGACTCCAAGCAAGCCCTTCATGGTTCCTCTGCCTCCCAGCCCTCTGTTCGAAGGTCATTTCATAAACTGGCATGCCTTATCTTAACCTTGAAAGTCATGAGGCCAACTCGTCCTGTCCTTTTGCTTTCTTTTGCATTTAAAACAATTAACTTTTGGTTGCAAAAGCAATGCATGATTACACTTATCTTCTAAAACGTTAAAACTAAAGCTAATACTCCCTTTGGACATTACTTCTAATCCTGGTCCTTTATCTTAAAAATAACCTCTGACACGTGTTGGGCATGTAGCTTTATAAATATGTGTTAAAAATCTTTTATAAACCTAATGTGTGATGACAGGAAATAATGGTATTATTTATGTCTGTATTTTATTTTAACTTTTTATTTGAAAATAATTTTAAAGATGAGTTGCCAAGATAGTACAGAAAGTTTCAACATACCCTTCACCAGCCTCTCCTATTGTTAACAGTTTACATAACCCATGGTGCAACTAAGAAATTAACATTGGTGCAATACTGTTAACTGAGTAACAGTCTTTATTCCAACTTCACCAGTTCTTCTGCTAATGTCCTTTTTCTGTTCCAGGATCCCATCCAGAATATCATATTGCATTTAGTTGTCAGGTTTCCTTGGTGTCCTATCTGTGAATAGGAGAATCTATGACAGTTTCTCAGTCTTTCCTTGGCTTTCATGACCTTGACACTTTTGAAAAATATAGGTCAAGTATTTTGTAGAATATTACCTCAATTTGGGTTCAGATAAACCCAAATCTGAATCCAAATTCCCTGAAGTTTTGCCTTTGGGGGCAGAATTTTTTTTAATATCAATACTATGTAAAATTCTGCAAGTTGCTATTTTCATTTAAAAATATGACTTTGGGATATATCTATGTTAATACATATGGATCAAGATCACTTCTTTTAAATTCTCAATAAAATTTCATTATATGAGTATTCTACATTTTATTTAGCCATTCTCCTGTTGGTGGGCATTTAGGCTGATTCTAAATTTTCTTTATTATAAGCAATACCCTAGTGATTATCCTTGCAGCTATCTCCATATGCACACGGGATCATGGTAGATAACTAGAAGTGGCATTGCTGTGATAGAGACTTAATAGATGTTGTCCATTTGCCCTCTGAAGTGGCTGGGCCAGTTTATATTTTTTGATATTATGAAACTTGAAAATTTATGCCAGTCTCAGTTTTATTTTCCATTTCCCTGATTACTAGTAAAGTTGGGCATCTTTTTGTGTTTTTTTTTTTTTTTTTTGAGACAGAGTCTCACTCTTTTGCCCGGGCTAGAGTAAGTGCCGTGGCATCAGCCTAGCTCACAGCAACCTCACACTCCTGGGCTCAAGCGATCCTTCTGCCTCAGCCTCCCGAGTAGATGCGCCACCATGCCCGGCTAATTTTTTCTATATATTTTTAGTTGTCCGATTAATTTTTTTCTATTTTTAGTAGAGACGGGGTCTCGCTCTTGCTCAGGCTGGTTTCGAACTCCTGAGCTCAAACAATCCGCCCGCCTCGGCCTCCCAAAGTGCTAGGATTACAGGCGTGAGCCACCGCGCCCGGCCCTTTTTGTGTGTTTATTGGCAGTTTGTATTTCATTTCATTTTCTGTGAACTGCTTATGTTCTTTGCTCATTTCTCTAGTGGACTATTTATCTTTTTTCTTACTGATTTGTTAAGAGTCCTTTATGGTTTCAGAAATAAATCTCTTTTATAGATTGCAAATATTTTTTTCCTTATCTGTTATTTTTCTTTTAACTTTGTTTCTACTTTTTTTTCAAGTTATTCCATCTCTCTGATTTTTGGAACCAAGTTCTTGATTATAAAAATAACATAAACAATGTAGGAAATTAATGGAAAAGTATAAAGAAGAAAGGAAACCACCCCAAATCTTATCACTGAGAGAAAACCACTGTTAACGTATTTAATATTTCCTTCTAGTCTTTTGTGTATGTACACATTTTTTTTTTTTTGCACAGTTCAGATCACATTCATGTGTGTGTGTGTCTGTGCATTTGTTATTCACTCAGTACAATGATCTTCAGACACAAACCCTGGCCTTTTTTCAAATGCACTTGGTTTAAAGGTTGTGTTATACTAACTTTCAACTCCTATTCCTTTTTCCACGTATCCTTAAAAATCTAGGAGGTGAGAGGCCCAAGGCCTGTCCTCAGCTGACTTGAACTGAGGCTGGCTCAAAAACACAAGGAGGGAGTGGGGTAGAAGTGCTCCAGGAGAGCACGTATTAAAAAGACCTGGAGGTTTTTGGTCGACTGCAAGTTCAATATGAGTCAATAATGTGGGTGCCAAGAATTTTATTACATGAATGCAAGGCACTAGGTCCTACAAGGAAGAAGCTATAGTCCTGCTTTGCTCTGATGGTACCATAAACATTTGGTTCAGGCTTGGGAGACATATTCTAAAGGAATCACAATCAGATTGACCAGTTGCATGAGGAGAAGGATAAAGACCCTCAAAACCAGGGCAAAGGAGGAACAATGGAAAGAATGGGAGATACTGATCTGGAATAAGAGGAGAGCTTAGGCAAATGTGACAGAAGTCAAATATCTGAAAAGTCGAAGTTCTAAGAGAGGTTATATCTGTTTGTTTTTTGAAGCTCCAAGGGGTAGAACTTGGGTCCCGATGGTGGAAGTTCAGACACAATTTCTAACTGGTCAGAGCTGCCAGTACCAAGGAATGCAGTGCTCTGGAAATAGTGGGCTGACTGTCTCTGAGTCATCTTCCTGCCATGGCAAGTTGGTGGTGGTTGGGTATTAATGTAACAGCTAACATTTATTGAGTGCCTACTGTGTTCCAGGCCTGTGCTGAGGCCTTACCTATATTATCTTATTTCATCCTGTAGCACCCTTTGATGTAGGTGCTCTTGCTTCCTATCCCTGTCTTATCGATGAGGGCACTGGGCATAGGTCAGGTACCTTACCCAAGGGCACACAATTTGTAAGAGGTGGAACTGGGATTTGAACCGTTCTAACAAAATTCTAAGCTGGTGCTTTTAGTCACCAAGGGGATTCAGGCGTGCTGTTATGGGGGTCTGGACCAGAGGGGTCTTGAGGTCCATTTGACTAGAAGATTCTGTGACTGGGGAAAAGGATACCCTCTTCCCCTAAGGGAAAGCTTCCTAGAGGGTAGGCCAAGAGGCAGTGGAAAGGGTAGCACAGGGGCCTGCTGAGGGGCGCAGGCAGGATGCCAAGGGACAGAAAGCGAAAGGAGATGCAAGGGTGTTCAATGTGCGTCACCCCACAGCTCGGCAACAACCGCTGTTCTGTCGTTTGAAGATCCCTAGACCCGCGTGAGGCACAGACTCGGCGCGATCTGGAAACGTTACGGTCGCCAGGTTCTGCGGCGGAGCTGGGGGACGGAACAGTGCGCCGGTCCCTGGCCAGCGCGAGCTGGGGGCGGCGCCCGGGCGGCGGGGGCGGGGAGGGCGTGCGCCCAGGCTGCTGCGGCAGTTGCGCGCTGCGATTGTTGCTGTGCGGCGGGCTCGGTGAGTGCGGCGGGACCCGCGGGCGGGCGGGCGAGCGAGCGAGCCAGGAGGGAGGGAGAGTGCGCGGCCGAGCGCGCGACCCCCGAGCAGAAGCTGCTTTCTCCAACCGGCCTCCAGCCTACGTGCCCCTCAGGCCCCTCTCCTTAGGCCGAGCCCCGCCCGCGCGCCCGCGGACGCCGCACGCCCCCCACCCAGCGCGGCCCCTGGCCCCCCAGCCCCTTCCTCCGCGTCGCTGCGACGCCCCCGGCCCACGTCGCGCTAGCGCCATTGTTCCTGGGCCGTGGGCTCGCCGGAACCTCGCCTTGCCCTGGGAGCGCGGCCCTTCCCTGCCTCAGAGCCCACCTCGCCGCGTTTCGCTCAGTCCTCCCTTCTCTCAAGTTGGTGGTGGCCCGTTACTCCGTTCTCCTTTTTTTTCGACTGATCCCGGGGTGTCCCTAGCCGCCCCCGAAGCCATCCTTTCGTCCCCTAATGGCTTCCCCGCCCCCCGCGCACTCGCGGTCGCCCCCAAGGAATTGGCGGGCCTCTGTGGTAGGGTGCAAGGTTGGCAGCGTCTTAGCAAGAGCATGAGAAACTGCCAGCTTGGTAGCCCGTACGCCTATTTTGTGTGCGGCACTTCCTGGAAAGGTCACGTCGAATTGCAAACCGCCACACAAAACATGCGTTATTTCCAGATGGCTCCCACTCAGGGCGTCAGCCGTTCGGGTGGCGGCCTCTTCCTTTCCTTTTCCTGGGGCCCCCGAAGCCTGTGAGAGCGAGATGCAGATCTGAGGCCCGAACCGAGTTGTAAGAATAACGTTTTGGGGGGGTTGACTCTGGCAGGCCACAGGTTTTAAAAGCAGTAGTTAGAAGTTGGTGTCCGATTTATTGTTTTCCAAAGCTTTCGGCTTTAGGGCCGTTATGTTTGAGGGTTGTGCTCTGAAGTACAGTGCTCCGAAATGGCTAGTCACCGTCACAGGGGTGTGTATGTTTGTGCGTGCTTGCTCCCGGGTGCGGACAGGTTCTTCCTGACTGAGCTGTACTTGTTTGAGCTGAAAGAGATGTTCTGCAAGGTTCCATTCAGTTCTAAGATTTGATGCCATTGTATGAAAATTTACAATCAGCTACAAATTTCCCGAAGTTTGTGATTGTAGGAAGATTTATATAGTTAGTATTTACTCATAGCACCTGCCAGCCTTAACTAGAAGACATCAGGTCTTCCTCCAGAAAGCCAAATTACAGTGGAATGTTAAGTGGAGGGACGTTCATTAATCTGTCTCTAGGCTATTTCTACTGTTCTATGGGAAAAGAAAGGAGTACGGAAAACATGTTTATTTTTAAAGTCTTTTTATTGCTTAACTCTCTTGCTAAAAAGCTTAATTCAACAAAATAGTTTGAAAAAACACAAAACACCACAACTTTATCGTGTTATTTATGACTATGCTCTATTAAAATTCTTATATAAATGTGTGTTTTTATCTAGTTATAATTGCTGTGTACATATTACTTTGAATTTCGCATTTACCCACATCTCTGGGATGACTATGTATCTAGAGAATCCATCTCCTCTTCGTTTGTAGATGCTCTTCAACATGCCTTTATGTAAGCCCAGTAGTCAACAATGCCTGGTACACAGGCTCTCAGTAATTTTTTGTTGAATGAATGTTGCAATATTTTGAGCTTTTTATATGACATCTACCAATACAAAATGGTAAATATCACAAGGGGTATGATAAGTGACATGTGAGCAATAAAGGCAGTCATACTTTCAGCCAGGGGACAACATTGCATATGTCTAAGGGCCTGGATTTTGTAGTCTGGGTTTGAGACCTGGCTTGCCACTATGCAACCTTGGAGAACTTAATTAACCTTAGAGCTTCACTCAGTTTCTCTCACCTTGAAAAGGGAAAAATAGAACAAATTTCACAGGGTTGTGTGGATTAAATAGAGTAATTTCATTGAAGCAGTTGTGCACACATTAAGTTCTCTATAATTGTTAGATATTTTTTGGCTCAGAGTGGAGAGATATTAACTGTAGCCTGATGGAATCAGAAAAAATATGGAGAAAGTGACACTTGAGAGTAGGGAGAAGATGAAAACATCTTCCTCTGGAGGGTGTGTTGAATAGATTGCTGTCACTAAAAACAAAGGGTTTGGTAGAGCAGTAGTATGAGATAAAGCTGGAAGAGAAATTCTTCTAAGTTGTTTACAAGATATGCTACATGGATTCCTTGTAGTTAGAATAGAATGAATGAAGTAAAATAACCCCTTTTTTACAAGTGGTTGATGTTTTTTGTTTGGTTTGATTTTTTAGGTTCAGACCTGAAAAAGTTAATTGCTTTAAGGAAGTTGGTAGCAAATTGTTATGGAGTGCTATGGTCCTTGACCCAGTGAGTCTTACATGACATTTTACTGATTGAAATTTGATTGCATTCTATGATTGGTTGCCAGTGTTTGCAGTGGCTATTCGTAGAAAACAACTTTAGCAGCAAACCAATAAAAATACCAAAATTGCCAGCAGGGTAGTAAAACTACTACCTTTTTAGGCTAAATACAGGATCAGAAAGGTTAAATTGATTTGAACAATGATGAGCCATTCATTCTTAACCTTTCGTGTGTCTCTCTTGGTTGGAAAGCATTATCAATAGTATGAGGTGAAGGGTGAGCATGGCAGCTCATGCCTATAATCCCAGCAGTTTGGGAGGCCAAAGCAGGAGAATTGCTTGAGACCAGGAGTTTGAGGTTACAATGAGCTATGATTGGGTCACTGCACTCCAGCCTGGGCAACAGGAGACACCACCTTAAAAGGGAAAAAAAAAAAAAAATGAGGTGCAAGAGGCTGCATCCTGCATGTCAGTCATGATCTGCTTGCAAAGAGAAGACTGAAATCTGTACCTGAGACTTAATGGCTTTAAAAAAAAAAATCAGTAAGCTTGTTGGGTATTAGAGTGTGTTTTCATTACAATTGTCCAGCGTAATATATATTTTTAAAAACTTACTGGTTTAATGGAGTTTCTTTAATGTTTTAATTTAAATTTGTCTTAAAATACTATGAAATGTTTCAAACATACCAAAAATAATACCATTTAATATATCTAATACAGACCTTTATCAAATCTTATAGTTAAGACTGTCATTTATTTATTTATTACCATTTTCTAATTGTGTGGTCTCTCTTTATAAACATTACAGATAAAATTGAGGCTGGTATCAATCCTTGTTAATCCTATTCCCCTGTCTTCCCCTTCCCTTCTCCCCTCTCTTTGTCCTCAGTTGAGTAATTATCATTCCCATTATATTTTTATACTTTTATTAACATTTAGGTATCCACAAAATTACATACTTTTGCTTAAGATACATGTGATTCTGTAACATGCTTTTTTATTCAGTATTGCTTTTGATATATATCTGTGTTGATGTATCTTTATTCATTTATTGCTATATTCCATTATATGAATAAACCAGTTTTTTTAGTGGATATTTAGGTGTTTCTAACTTTTTTGCTATCAACAGTGCTGTAATAAACATTCTTGGATATGTTGCCTTGTTTACATGTGTGAGAAAATTTTAAGCCTAGGGAATTCTTAGTTTGTAGGGTATGAGCATCTTTAATCTTATTAGATAATGCCAGGTTACTTTCCAAAATAATAAATACAAAATACCCATCAGCAGGTTATGGGAGTTTCCATTTTGCCATATCCTTACAAACATTTGATAGTATCAGACTTGAAAATTTTTGCCAATCTGATGGGTTTTGATTTGCTTTTTCCTGATTATTAGTGAAGTTGAGCTTCTTCACATCCATTTATTGTTCATTTAGATTGCCTTTTCTGTAAATTCCCTAGTTATATACTTCATTTTTCTGTTGGCTTGTTTGCTTTTCCATCATTGGTTTGTGGCTCTCTTTACCTATACTTTATACTAATTCTTCCTCAGTTATGGTGTTGGAAATATCTCCTCAATGTGCCAGTGAACATGGTGATGACAGTTATTTTTTCTGCTTAGTTTATGTTTAATATGATATTCAATTAGAATTTGTGTTACACATTCTTTTTCTAACATTGTGTTTGTCATAAAATTATCCTCTATAAATTCATAAGGACAGGACAAGTTTTTGTTATGCTTTAACTTTGGGCCAGAATATTCTAGAATATGAAATCTTATAATTATTCGTTTAAGTGTATATATTTACACTACAGATTTCTGCCATTCTGCACTATTTTGTCTAATTTGCCAGATGAGTATTACATGTATTCGACTATTTATCCTTGAGAAACATTTTTTTTAACCAGTTATGTTAGAATCTCTATGTAATTTGTGTATCTCTATCTAGTTTGTTTTAGAGCTGCTAAATAAGCCAGCTAGAATAATGTGTAGGCTGAAATAGCTCAAACATTCTGTATCAAAACTATAATAACTTTAAGTTACACCTGTAAGAATTTGACTGATATCATGCAATCTAAATAAGACCAAGCCGTAACTTGGAGAGTAAGCATTGGAATCTTTCATAAATGTGCAGTTAGTAAATGCCATTTTTTTAGTCTTGAATTGCTGGTTTACTTTTGAAGTAGGTTTGATGAAATAATTCTTGAAATATTTCTATGTAGATCTAAGAGCTTTCAGGAAAAAGAAACATATAGATAGTAGATTAGATTTAGGATGCTTTAATTGACATGAAAAAAATGTGTGAAATTGTTAGCCTCTGGCACATAATGGGCGCTCTGAAGTTTTGACTCCAAGTAGAAACCTACTGTACATTCCTCCAGACATAAAGTATAATACTATGTTGTGCAGAAGCTTCAAATATTAAAACATTGTGGGTTTTAACATTATAAACAATTTATTAAGCACTTTCTGTATCAGTCACTGTTCTTAGCACCTTACACCTATTAATGCATTGAATCCATGTTCTAACTCTGCCCATTTTGGAGTGGAAGAAACTGAAGTGATTATGTAATTTACTCAGTCACAGAGCTAGTTGGTGTTGGAGCCAGGCTTTCAACCCCAGCAGTGTAGCTCCAGAA